AACCATACTCCTGAATTGGAAAAATAAAAATAATCTTAGCATTAATCAGTATAAAAATCTTCTGTTAGATCATATCAGTCTTGAAACAGCATCTGCCGACACATTGGATCAATCTCTGTGGGCTCCTTTGATCGGCTCCATTACATAGTGAGGGTGGGTAGTCTGGGATCTGACCTTGTGGGGCCTTGGGGTTGATGTGGAGGCGGGTGTATGGGTTTGGGGCCCCGGGGGGGGTTGCCGGGGGCTGGGCTCTTGGGGGTACCTGGGCAGGGGGGCACTGCTTTCCCTCTGGGGAGGGCCTGGGTGGTTCTGGGGGATGTCTGCTGGTGGCTGCATGCAGGCCCTCAGGTGGTCTGTGGCGGCGGTCGTGGGTCACCGATCTGGTAGCCTGGCTGTGCTGGTGTGGGTTCGGGGTGGGCGCGGGGGCTTGGGGTTCTGGGGGCTTATCGCCCCCGGGCTTGGGCCTGTGGGGTTCGGGGATCTTGGGCTCTGGCGGGCGGGTTGCCGGGCTCTGGGCCGGCTTGCGCTCTGGTGCCCGGTTCTGGGCGGGGGCCTTCGGCTCGCTGGTGGGTTGTGGGTTCATGGGCTGGGGGGGTTGGGTGTTTGGGGGCGTGACCAGTGGCCCCTAAGAGGGGGTAGTTTGACCCAGCCTAGGTGTCTAGTGTGCTATGTGTTTTGAGAGATGTCCGAATGAGGGGTGGGTGTAGTATTTCTTCTGGGGTGGGGATGGGGTGGATGTCCTTGGGGGCGGCCCGGGACTGTGCATGGCTGGCTGGCTGGCCCCTTTCCTGTGGTGGGGGCTCGCTCCCGGTGCTTCCTGGCACTGTCGGCGGTTGGGCGGGCGCTCTTGGCCGGGTCGTCCTGGTGGGGTTTGGCTCCATCTGGTGGCGGGCTGACTGCGGTCTGTGGGGGTCCTGGTGGCCCTCGGGTGTGTAGGCTGCTGGTGCGGCTTATGGCGGCCCTCGGGGCTCTGTCCCTCTCTGGTCTGGAGCTCAGCGGGCCTGGCGGTCGGTCCAGATGGAGAGGTGTCTTGGCCTCAATCCCTGGGTGGACCTTGGGGGGCTGGGGGGGGGGGGGCTGTTGGGTCAGTGGGGGAGCTGACTCCCTGTGGGAGCATTTGCTCTCACAGTTATTTCTCCCCATCCCTCACCATGCACCTCCACCCTCTTCATTTCAATTCCACACATTTAGGGTTGTTTGGGCTCGGGTGTGCTGCAACAATTTTACATCTTTGTTGAACATAGCCACCTGGGACTCAATTTTATTGTACACCTTAGACATTCATTCATAACATCCTCATGACATTCATATATAGGAATTTGAAGTGGGCACATGGCTATGGGTGGTGGGATGACCTTACTCTCACCCCCTGTGCCTGTGCTCACTTACAACGGTTACATTTAGACACTAGGGTTGGATAGAGTTGGGGTGGAGGGGAAACTGGCACCTTGCCAGCCTTTGCTCCTTCTTCTTTCCTTTTTAATGGCACTCTACAACAACACACATCAACAGCACATCTAGGGGTGGGGGTGTATGTGTCGGGGTCTTATTTTTATTTATTTATTTATTTTTTTTCTCCTCTTCCTACCCACCTAGTTCCCTGACTGCCATTCCGGGGGTGGGGTCCGGGAGAAGGGCAGGCCGTCGGGTGTTGACCAGGACTATGTGGGGGTTCGGGGTCTGGGGGTTGCCGTGGGCGGTGCTGGCGCTGTGCTCTCCCTGGGGTTATTTGGACCCCATGAGCTTGGCTCTTGGGTGACATGGTTGGCCCGCTGACCGGGGTGGCTGCCGGGGCCTGGCAGGCGGTCGGCTGGGGGTGTGTGCTTGGTTGTTGACGGTGTGTGGGGGTGGTTGGTGGCGTGTCCTCTTCATGGTGGGGGGGTGTCCTGTCGGCGGGGCATGGCCTGGGCCGGTTCTGGGGTATTGGCTCTTCTCCGCTCAGGAATGAATGGGTTTACCTCCTGGGTTTGGGCATGGGCTGCCCCCTGTAGAGGGCGGGTACATGTCTTGGACCTGGGGGGTTTAGAGTGTGTATCGGGAATAAGAATGAAATGTATCGTTATTGTATGTCTTTGAGTGAATGAATGTGAGATTGAGGTTGGGATAGTGTGATTGTGTCTGTGTATGAATGGATATTTGTTAGGCCAAGACTCGGACTGCCCCCTCTTTGATACAACTGGGGGTGCTTGGCATCGCGCCCCTATCGCGCGGCCCCCTGGTGGGGTGTGCCCTTGCCTGCCGGCGCGCTTGGGGCCCTTGGTATCGGGGGCTGGGCGCTTGGGCGTGTGTCGGCTCGGCCTGGTGTCTGCCTGGTGGGGCTCGGGTCCTCTGGCGCTGTCAGGCCTTGGCCTGGGTGGTGTGAGTCCTCGGTGCCCGGGCCTCGGTGCCTGGACCTGGACCTACATCGGTGCGGCGGGTGCCGACGGGGGCCTATGAGTTTGTCGCTGTTGGCCCCGGGGGGGTCACTGTATGTGGTTGCTGGTGGGGATCTTCAGGTTCTCCCCTGTGGTCCGTTCTGGGGGGTGGGTGAGTGGTTCGTCCTGTGTGGGTGGCTCTGGGGGCTCCGCGGTCGGGGTCCCTCCTGGGGTCTTGGACTCTGGTCCCCCCTTTTTCATCTGCCTCTGGTCTTGGGGGTCGGGTCTCTGCTGCTTCACAGTTACTAATAAATGTTCTATTAGAGAAGCCTTATACACTTATGCATGCTCACAACCACACACAAATAGAAGCAGGGATGCTTATTTAGGCTTTATATGTAGATATATAGATATGTATGTGAGTGTATATTCATGTGTATGTATGTATGTATGTATATAGGCGTAGGTATGGGTATATATATTTATGGAAACTTACTGCAAAGCCATGAATATTTTAAGTTCTTTATACATATGTATTTTGTTGCTATGTTTTGTCATGTTCTTTGCAGGTGAACAGACAGTGGCCGGGTGTTTTGACGTGTGCTCTATTTGTATATATTTCTTATATTTTGGAGTCTTACTTTGTCTTTTCTTTCTTTCTATCCTATTGGAAAAAAAAAAAAAAAAACAAAAAAAAAAACCCTACACTAGATAGTCACTATAATAAATATTTCATAATAATGGTGTGGAAAGGATGGCTGTAAGGGGAGAAGGGAGGCCATCAAAAAAAAAGAAAAAAAAAAAAAAAGAAAAAAAAAAAAAAAAAAAAATGTACCTAACTTACCACCTACCCAACTCCGCAAAATCCTGCATCCCCCCCTCCCCCAGCTTACTACTGTTCAAGTTACTTGTTTAGTAATAAACTACTCACCTTATTGAGACTGATCAGCTCGAAGTGTTCCCACATTTGAGAACAGCTTCTCTTCCTGGATGGCTCCATGTTGATCAACCAAAAACAGTGATGAAAACAGCAACAACGCACAAAACAACTCCGACAACAAACCGACATGTTGTGATGTGTGCCGGGTGCCTTTAGGTATGTTTTGGTGTGCACAAACCTCCTGAAGCAAGTCTTGCATCAACGAATCACCTCACCATATGAAACTATTGTGGGATTCATTTGGGGACCGAAGCAGTCACTGCTTCATACGTCATTTCTTGCGTAACTTTCTCTGCCACAAAGCACGCTTCATAGCAGTGGTTAAAAGAGAACGCAACTTCGAGTTCGAAGCAAGGATCGGCGCTTCGGCGTCAGACTGACATCACTAGTCTGGTGGTGGAGAAACCAAAGCTTTCTGAGAACCGACTCCAAATAAAGCTGATTTTAAACAGTTTGACTTGTTTGGTTGGAGAGTGGTGGTGCAGAGGTTAGAGAAGGTGAACCTGTGATCAGAAGATTGTTGGTTCAACTCCCGGTACCGACAACATCAAAATGTGGGTGAAAAAGGTGAAGCATCCCACACCTGCCCCACCCTGGGCCCTTGAGCTTAACCCTGAACCCCCACCATCTGCTCCTCCGGGTGTCCTAGATGTAGCGCTCTGCTCCACACAGAGGCTGTGGTAGCTCGGTGTCTGTGGTTGGTCAGGAAGAACATCTGGTGTAAAAATAAGGGCCAAGTCTTCGTATGACTCAGTTCACTGTGGTGACGCCTGAAGAAGGAGCAGCTGAAAAAAGAAGAAAAACAGTTTGACTGGTTTGGTACAAATGTCTCCATCTGCTGGACGTCCATCAACCTTACAGCTGATGGATGAAGAGAGGACGAGTCTCTGGAACACATCAGCAACATTGACCTGCGCTGTGGTGTGGACATGAAGTCCTGCGTGTTCTAAACACACGTTGTTGGTGTTGTTGTTGTTGTTGTTGTTGTTGTTGTTGTTGTTGTTGTTGTTGTTG